TCCAAGGCAGCTGCTAAGGTATGTGCAAAATATCTGAAGCTCGTAATCAGCCAGATCTTGTCCTTTGGAAAGAGTAGAAATTTTGCTTAAATAAAGCAGTGCAGGGTTTGGTTTGGTACAGCCAGCGACTACGAAGAATCATAGTTTCTGTTATCAGGGTTTCTTGATACGCGTGTCTTTCTAAGTAAAAAGAACATATAGTTCTAAGGGGAGGGGGGATCATTTTTTGTCCTTTTTTATTTTAATGGCTAAACATTGTAATGCTAGCTAAATAGAAATTTTTGTCTGTTAATAGGTTCCTTTAGTTTGTAATAAATAGGAATGCTAATGACTGAAATTTGGTATTTGGTATGCATTAGCTTTTGTAAGTCTTTTCTTTACAGGCTTCATTGACATTCAATATGGCAAGCTTCCTTTGAAACATATTTATAAAATAACTACAGTATAATTAAACCAACAAAGCCATCTTTTAAGTAAGCTTAATAGCTCAGTTTTTCATTCTGTAAATTTTTTAAGGAAGAAAAGTAGTTATGCTTCAATTCTACTGTATATTTCATTTTGCATCTAATATTTCCTTTCCATTTGCAATCTGTGCATATCTAATTCTTGACAACTGTGATTATTAATAAGTGTGGATGAAAAACATGCTTCGCAGAATCTTCCACAAGAATTTTTTTGTTAATGAGAACTGAAACGTATCTTGGCAAAGACAATATATGAAATATATACATGTGTGTGTGTATATACATATTTGAATAGCTAATGGTGGTGTAGTTAATACACAAAAATGGATTAATAGATATGGCAGGTAATAATTGAAGTGGATGCTGTTTAATAAATATAACTAAAAATGTTTTAATGATATAAAAGCAATAGGTAAATAAAAGCAATTACACTTAATTTTGCTTTCAGCTTGTGAGCATTTTCTGTAAGCTTCAATAGAGGGGAGAGCTTGTGCAAAAGGCTAATGGTAGAGTCGGTGTTAGCATTATTCATTAGGGTTTCTAAGTAGTACTTATTCTGAGATATTTCTCTGGAAGACTAAAATGTTCTTGGTAAGGGTACTTGGATGCTGATAACCCTAATTCATAATAATATCCCCCTCATTCAGAAAATTAAAGTTTACAGAGTCCTCAGCAGTTTGAAAATCTTTATACTATTTAGAACCGTGCTCGTGTTCACTGAGGACAAGCTAAAAAGTGACAGCTCGCAATATAATAAGTAAAGCGGAACCTAGTAACTGTTTCTTAAACTCCATCCTCGACAGGCATAATAATATTGAGCCCCCATTTACGGTATGGTGAATAAAAACAGTTGACATCATTGTTATAATCTTTATTTAAAACTGTTACCAAGGTTACAAATTACCATCACTGTGTGCAACAGGTCCCTCTGAAGCAGTATCATTACAGATTAACTGTAATGTGTAGGATTATAATAAAAGGCATAAGGGATTATGCACAAGCAAAAATGCTAGAAACAACACAAATACATCTACATTATGCAGCGCATCGCATCGCAAAACCTCTGCTTTCAATGCTGAAATACACAATGTGGCTTTTTGTTTCATTCGGGCATTTAGGGAGGGGTTAGCTATATCCCGAAGTGGCTTTACAAATGCCAGGGAGCAGAGGGGTAGGGTTTGTCTCCACCTGTAAAACCGCTGCTGCTGGAAATGTTCTCGCACCGTCCCCACTCTTAGCGGAGCACCTAGTTTCCAGGAAAACAGGCCTCCTCTCTCTGGAGTGGGACCGCGGCGCAAGAAAACAGAGTCAGCGGTTGCACGACCCACAGCCCCACGGCCCGCGGCCCCCAGCGGAGGCCGAGGCCTCCCCCGCCCCCAAAAGGGGGTCTCGCCTGGCGTGACAGGGCGGCCGAAGGGCAAGTGGGGCAGCAGGTGACCTTCTGCTGGCCACCCCCGGCCAGCACCTCCGGCCCCCGCTAAATCACTCTGCCCCGCCCTCAACTTAATGACACAAATCCGGGCTCTTAAAGTCTTTCCGACCGATCGTACTCGCTCATTTATAAATAATGATCTCCATATAGATGCATAACAACAACATACCAGAAGTGTTCGGGGAGAAATCCGATTAAAGTCTATAGCTTTTTTTCCCCTGTCTCTCCCCCAGCAAAAGTCTCGCCACAGGTCAGCTGCCGCGGCTGGCCCAGGCTGCGGGGTTAAAGG